CCTTTCCGTGAGTCGGCCAGCGGGTGAAACTAGGAGCTGCACGCTGGCGCCTGCAGCATCTGGGTCAGGAAGTGGTCACAAATCGGAGAAATGCCGGGAGGTGGAGATGCTGTGTTTCCTGGCTGTCTTCCACCAGCGCCATTGCTGATGAAGCAAGCACAGCACCCTGCTGTGGCATGCCCTAAGATATCTGGGTAGGGGAGTGGAAGAAGGACTTCAGCGGGCTGCCATTTTGATGGGAAATTATCACATTTGGAAATCAACACAGCCCTCATTTGTGTTTGGAAAGCTCTGTGTTTTGCAACTATTCAGCAGTAAGAAAACGAAGTTCATGGCATCTGGTCCTATCACTTCCTGGCAAATAGATGGGGAAGAAATGGAGGTAGTGACAGATTTTATTTTCCTGGGCTCCAAGATCACTGCAGAAGGGGACTGCAGCCAAGAAATTAAGATGCTTGCTTCTTGGGAGCAAAGCTATGGCAAATCTAGACAGCATACTGAAAAGCAGAGACATCACCCTGCCAACAAAAGTGTGTATAGTCAAGGCAATGGTTTTCCCAGTTGCAATGTATGGCTGTAAAAGCTGGACCATAAGGATTGAGGCCTTTGAATTGTGGTGCTGGAGGAGACTCCTGCGAGTCCCTCGGACCGCAAGGCGATCAAACCGGTCAGTCCTAGAGGAGATCAACCCTGACTGCTCTTTAGAAGGCCAGATCCTGAAGATGAAACTCAAATACTTTGGCCACCTAATGAGAAGGTCACTGGAGAAGATCCTGAGGGTGGGAACGATTGAGGGCAAAAGGAGAAGGGGCGGCAGAGGATGCGGTGGCTGGATGGGGTCACTGGGGTGGCGGGTGTGGGCTTGGGTGGACTCCGAGGGATGGTGGAGGACAGGAGAGCCTGGAGGAATGTTGTCCATGGAGTTGTGAAGGGTTGGACATGACTTAGTGACTAAACAAGCAAAATGTTTAGCAACTAAAAATAGAGTCAAAATAAAGGTAAACTGTATCTATTAACATGCCCATGTTTGGAAAAAATGCTAGAGGAAAAATGGATAGATCTCCAAAATCCATGCAAATGTGTTTTAGTCAATGGGGTCACAAGCACACATTTAATAATATAATGCTAATAGTAACACTTACACCCTGCCTTTCCTCTTCTTGCAAGGAACCCAAGTTTGTCTTCCTCACCTTTCTTACAACAACAACTCCTTGAAGTAGGTCAACTAGTGAGCTAGTGAGTAAGGACTAGAACCCATTTCCAGTCTAATGCTCCAACCATTGTGCCACACCGGCACCCCGGGAACTCGCTCTGCCACAACTTGTCCATGTTTCTGAGTGCGGGGTGGGGATGGGGAAGAAAGTGGAGGCAGGAGCCAGACAGGAGGGGCTCAGTGACGGACCGCGGGAGAACGTGCTTGTGGTCAGCCCTGCCCGTTGTGCCCAGTGCTGCTCTTGGCTGGATGTCATTCGAAGAAGGGGGACGGTGCCCCTGCCGTATCGCCCCACTAGTTTATCCAGGCCGGAAAGTCCACGAGGGAGGACCCAACGCTCATCCAAAGAGCACGTTCTTTGTGAGAAGGGCTCCCCGATTTTGGGAGGGCACATGGTGGCCCTTGGGACCCATGGGTGGCCAGCACTGAGAACCCTGGGCTCGCTGGCCCAAGGGTCCGGCCGGGAACGAGGCAGCCTCCAGTGTCCCGAAAGCCTTGTGCAGCCTGCGAGCCGCATGCAAAGCGAGGGGTCCCCGAGGGTTTGGCTCCTGGGAACCTTGTGCCACGGAGCTCACGGTGGCTCTTGGACACCGTGGAAGGGATGTGGCTGGGAGGAGAGCTGTCAGACCTGCGTCAAAGAAAGTTGCCTTCCTGGAAACTATTAGGTAGCATCTGTTGTGTGAACAGGAAGCCACGGCAGAGTGATAATCCTGGCAGCTGTGGAGGGGCAGGAGCCGGCCACAGGAGCAGGCAGCTCGAGAACTGACAAGAATGATGACGGATGCCCCCATGGGCGGAACACGAGGGCAAGGAAAGTGCTGCCGACATTCACGGCACTCCGGGAAGAGCCTCGGAGCTGGCAGAGGGCCGGGCAAGACGGGCTGGGAGTGAAGAGGAGGAGACTTGTCCCCCTGCCCTGGATGGATGCCTGCAGAGCTGGGCCAGCAGGAGGGAATCAAACAGCTTTCCCCTGCCCCGGTGCTGGCTGGGGATGATGGGAGTTATGATCCCAGGCACGATGGAAACAATCACGCCAAGGGACAAAACCGACTCATAGAGTGGGATGCGTTTGTGGGTGACGTTTGCGGGGTGAGCTCCATTTGTGGCTGATGGGAAGCCAGGAGGGAAAACCCAGCAATCGGAAAAACAAGGCTGCACCAAATGGAATCGCACCAAATATACCGCGCGAATTGCACTCGCCACGTCTCCAGCGCTGCAGGTCCCCTTTCCTGGTCAGTCTTGTCATCAGCGACATGGATGAAAGGGTGAACCGTCTGCTGATCAAATTTGCCAGTGATACTACAACCGGAGCAGTGGCCACAACTGAGGAGCAGGTACTCCAGATCCAAAAGGATCTGGACAGACTATGGAAGTGGGCAGGAGACAACAGGATGGCGTTCAATGTGGATAAGTGCAAGGTCTTGCACTTGGGGCATAGGTATAGGTGTCATAAGTACAGGTTAGGGGACAAGTGGCTGGAGAGCAGCACCTGTGAAAGGGACCTCGGGGTGCTGGTTGACTGCAGGCCAAACATGAGCCAGCCGTGTGATGCGGTGGCCAAGAGAGCGAACGCCACCCTTGGTTGCATAGCCAGAAGTGTGGCTTTTAGATCGAGGGGTGTATTACTACCACTCTACATGACTCTGGTGTGCCCACAACTGGAGTATGTTACTCAGTTTTGGGCCCCTCATTACAGGAAGGATATAGCCAGGTTGGAGTCAGTGCAGTGTAGGGCCACAAGGTTGGTGGCTGGTTTGCAGGGGATGGGGTATGAGGCGAGACTGAGGGAACGGGGTCTCTCCAGCCTGGAGGAGAGGAGACTCAGAGGGGATCTGTTGGTGACATACAGGTATGTGAGGGGGTGTCACATGGAGATGGGTTAGAGACCTGTTCTCCCCTGCAGAGGAAGGCAAGACTTGTTCCAATGGAGCGAAGGAGCTGAGGTTCAATTTGGATGCCAGGAAGTACTTCCTGATAGTTAGGACCCTGAAGGTATGGAATGGGCTTCCACGGGAGGTGGTTGAGGCCCCATCAGTGCGGGTGTTCGAGGATAGGCTGGACATGCACATGGTGGGCATGTCCTGAGTGGAGCTGGCCGGAGTCAGGGGTCAGACTAGATGGCCCGGGAGACCCCTTCTGACTCTCTGTTTCTATGTTTCCTCTGCTGCATGTGAATGAAGGGATTCGAGGCGGGTCCTGGCACTGACGGAAGGAGCCTGGCTGAGCTGCCACCAGCAAACTCGCAAGGAGAACATGGTGGAGAAAGCCCCTTGGTTGCTTTATCCCCAGCACCGAGCGCAGCCGTTCATGCCAGCCTCTGAAGCAGCTGGAAGAGGACTGCAAGGCCTCGGCCACGATCCGCGGCGTGGGGAATCGCCTCTTTCCCGTGTCTGGCTTGCGCAGCCCCCACAGCAGCGGAGACCCCCAGAGGGAGCCATCCCTAGGCTAGTGGCCTTGCAGAAGTACAAAGTGGTCTTGGAGAAAATAAAGCACCTTAAGGGAGAACCCCACGCCCCCCAAAATGCCCAGGGATGTCCGAGCATGCTCACAGGCCTCCAACTGCTGACTGGCAGCAAGGGGTGGGGGCCGAAGAGTGTGCAGGGGGGTGGAATGGAGCATCCGGAAAAAGGGCTGGCAGCCCGAAATCGTGGGCAAGATCTCACCCCGCAGCATTTGGCTTCAGGCCTTGCTTTTTCCGTGGGCTGATGGTTGCGTGATCCACGGAAGTGGCGTTTACCGATGCCTCGCACCAGCTTTCCTCCCCGCCTCCTTATTGACCTATAGATGCTCATGGAGCGGCCCTTGACGAAGTCTGGGAATACCCAGTGCTCGCCGGCCTGGGCACGCGGCTCCCAGGGCATGCAACTCGTTTCAGGAATGGGTTGGGTGCATACGTACAGGAGGGCTTGCTCCCAGGTTGGTTCTGAGAATGCCCGTCCAGCCCCCGGGCAGCGTGGGGGCGCCAGCGTGGTGTCAATGGGTAGGTGTTTCTAACCCTGTCCTGGATGGGGCTGCACTCCCACTAAAGGGTGGGGTGCACAGTTTGGGAGTCCTCCCCCACCCAGAGCTGTCCCTGGAATCCCAGGGGGCGTTGGTGGCGAGGAGCGCTTTCCTTCAGCTTTAGCTGATCTATCCACTGCACCCCTGTTTGGATCGGCAGTGCCTGGCAGCGGTGACCCATGTCCTGGGAACTTCCCCATTGGACTACTGTAATGCGCTCTACATGGGGCAGCCCTTGAAGATGGTCTGGATACTCCAACTGGTCCAGAATAGAGCTGCCAGGTTATTAACAGGGACCGGCAGGTATGAACACAGAACGCCAGTCCTTCTCCAACTGCGCTGGCTTCCAGTTGAAGCCAGGGCCCTATTTAAGATGCTGGTGATGACTTAGGAAGCCCTAAATGGCTTAGGGCCTGTTACCTGAAGGACCGTCTCTTTCCTGCCCACCTGCCCCTTAAGATCTGGGGCAGAGGCCCTTCTCCAGGTGCCTTCCCTGAAGGAGATTAGGAGGGTGACTATGCGGAGAAGGGCCTTTTCTGCGGTGGCACCCCGATTGTGGAATTCACTCCCCAGAGAGCTTTGCCTGGCGCCATCACTTTATTCTTTTTGGCACCAGGCCAAAACCTTTTAATTTTCCCAATGTTTTAGAACTTGACTATTTTAATTGGGGGTTTAGTATCGCTGAATTTCAGGATGCTGTGTTTTAATAATTTCTTTTCTTCCCTTACATTTTGTATTGTTCAACCATCCCAAGAGCAAGCAGCCCCAGCAAGAGGCTGGTACTCACCGGCATTGTCTGGCTGCCATGCAAGGCGTTGATGGCTGCCTGGGCCTCCGCATGCGACGAGTACTTCACGAACGCACACCCTGCAGGAGAAGGAGGAAGCGGAGGGCGCCGTGGCTCAGCTGGACGGCAAACATCAGCGGGTCGTCACTCTTCTTTTCTAGGGTATTTCCCAGGATCTGGCTGCCGTGGCCCTTCCCAACGTGTGCCCACAAACGGCTACCCCCACCCCTCCCCGTGAATGCTGAGCCCCTCTACCTCCCCGCTCAGAGGCCGCAGAGCCTTCCAGCCAAGCGGAAGCCGTCGTGGGCGATGTGACTGGGGCCACACCGCTTCCACGCTGTGCTTACCTTTGCTGTTGCCGTCCGGTCCCCGAAGGATCGTGCACTCTTCAATGTTCCCAAACGCTTCGAATAGCCTGCGGACGTCATCTTCCGACTGCTGCTTGTTCAGCATGCCCACAAAGAGTTTTCTGTCTTCTGGAACAAAATAAAGAGATGCTTACCATATTTCAGAAGGGGTGGGCAGGCAAGGCACTGAGGCGTCGGGCCAGGGAGAGTGCAAGGAGGCAGAAATGACAAAATGCCCCCAAGCTCTCAGCCACGATCTCCTCGGAAGGCCAAGTGGGGTCCGTGGGCCAGTCAGGCGCCAGCCCATAATGCAACAAGATTTGCTTGTTGGAATGGCCCAGGCACAAACTCGTCAAGGCGCACACCGACACTTCTGGCCATCGTTTCCCTTTTGAGGAAGATTTGCTTTGACATTAGTGAGTGCGGCGGCCAATCCAGACCGCCAAGCTCACAGGGTGCTGCCTCCATTGCCACGGTTTCCCTCGAGAGCATGACAGCCCAGCGAGACACGGAGGATCTGCTGGTCGAGGTCTCTAGAGCTGTATCCAGCACACGTCCAGGATTTCCTGGATGCTGCATGAGTTCAAGTCTGCAGCATGGAGACCTTCCACTGGGTAATGAGATGCCAGTGCTTGAGGCTCAATGACTCAGCCGTGCCCAGTGCATGTGCTCCACACCTGAGAAGCTCACCACTAGGTCGACCTGCGAAGAGACAGGTGTCCTGCAAACGATCTCCGAATGAGAGATTGGGGGAAGCAGGCCCCCAAGCCCAGAGATGTCTCCCCCTTGTTTTTATAGTCTGAACCAGTTCTGAGTTTTACAATCTCCCTGTTTCATTTTTAAAAATAAAAAGCTACCCTTCCACACTTCATGTTAGAGAGCTCTTTCTACATGAAGCATAAATGCTTAATTTATAGTTCATTAAATACTATGTAAATGCTCATGAGCAGCGATGCCCCCCAGAGACATACGCGGAACAGATGTAACCAATTTGAATAAATACTTGTCAATAAATAAACAAATTCTCTAGGCTTTCTTTCAAAGAAAAAAGTAAGGAAATGTGTTTGTGTTAACCCTCTATGAGCAGCACTTGATGCAGAATTGGAATTTTGGGAGAGAAAGCCAGTCCTTAACGCGTTGGCTAAATTGCATGTGCGGGAGAGGGGCTGGGTGGTGGAGCTGCACAAAACGATGCTCCTCTAGAGTCTAAGGAAGGGGGCTCTCCACCAGGAACTTGGGGGTCAGGTCTAGGCACCCGGACAGCAAAATGGACAGAAGGCCCCTGATCGCATAGGGTGGATGCCCCACATTTTGAAGGAAGAGAATTAATCCACCTGATCTAATGAAGAGGGACCTTTTGCAAGATCATTATGTCCAGAGTCTGAAATTACCAGACCACGCCACTGATTCCAGGCCCTCTGGACATGGGCATTTGTCACTCAGCGCCACTGGGAGATGGCGCTTTCCTTCAAAGGGCTTCGAACTGAATTGCATGTGGCAGATTAATATGCCCCCTGAGGTCCGAGTTCAATTTAAACGAGGCAGGATTGGCACGAGGGTCTCTCTGCCACCGCAGAGATAGCATCTGGCATGATTGGCGCTCTCCACCCGGAGAGCAAATTATTAAGGGCCCCAACAGGCAAGGTCCTACCCATCTGGGAAAAGAGAAGACTTCCTACAAACGGACAGCACAGTAATGTTGCCTGCCTGGACTACCGCAGCGGGAGGGAAGTATTTTGTCTGTTGGGCACGCCTGACCATTTGCGCAGCCGCCCGGACAACTATTGCAAGGTGGCTGCCATGGCGGGTGGGACAAAAGGCCAGTGACCTGCTCAAAAGACAGAGACGAGCCCAGGGGTGGGATCTGGGCAACTCCTTTGAACCCACAGTTCTCAGCACCAGCAGAAACCAATTTCACCGCAAGCCAGCTGCCAGCAAGAAAATGTTTTCACTGGGGGGAAGGTGGGAGGGAAAGGACAACAGGAAAGGTCTCCATGGCCAGAGGGCTTGTCCACCTCCCAGAGGGCTTCAGCTATGGGGCAATGTGGAAATGAAAGCTCTTCTCACTGCACTATGGTCCTGTCATCGTTGCAGCCCCCCATGTTGGGGGGCTGGGAGTCAGGAGTCCTCACCAAGTGTGCCACCTCAAGCAACCCCTCGCAAAGCTGGTCCGCCAAACCGATGGGCGGCAGTGCTGAGCAAAAGAAAACCTGCAGGTCCAGACAAGCAGAAACTGCTAGAGAGCACAGACGGGACGTCTTAGACCACCAGACCTGCATGTTTGTGCAACTGGTCGGACCACATTTTATTGCAATCATGCATAACTCAGGATGAACAAAATCAGCTGTCCAGAGCCTGATGGTGAGCGATCCAATGACGGAAATGCACCCATGTGGTTTTGAAATAAAGGAACGAAGGTGCGGATTCCTAAGTCAGAACTCATACAAAGGGAAGAGGGCCAGGAAGCAGAGTCTTGCTCCTCCAGGTGGTGGCCATCTTCCTCACATTAATTGGTGTGTATGTTGCTTTCATGGGCTCTCTCTATACTCACACACATGCACACGCACACACACAAACTTTTGGTACCAAAGTTAAGACTGCTCTCTCTTGCAGGTCATTGAATTAGTTGTTTGGGGACTTCATTAGCAGCTTAAACAGGTTGCTTCATAAAGGCTATTGTAATTTTTCATATCTATTTTAATTCAGTTTTGTATGATAACCTTTTTAATGATTTTTAAAGTCATCTGTATTTTTATATTGCATTTTCATGAGTTGTATACCACCCAGAGCGCTCCAGCTACTGCGCAGTATAGAAACTGAATCATCGTCAGTTTGTGCATCATCTGAACTTATATAAACTGATTTGTACACATACCCAGCTAGGCTTCCTGACACCATCTGAGGAGGGGTCCTGGGATTCGCTGCAGCCCAGGAGTTGAATGCTGAGCCCCTTCAGACACACCGTCTGCCTCTCAAGGAAGCAGCTGGGTCTTGCAGAGGAAGGCAAGTGGGGGGAGGAGGAGGAGGAGGAGGAGGAGGAGGAGGAGGCAGGCTCTGGCTCTTTCCCTTCCTTCCTTTGTGCTTTGTCTGGATGGCTGAAAAAGGCCCTCTAGCCGGATGCACCGGGTGCCCAAAGGTCTCTTACCTGTATCGGCGGTGGACAGCACTGAATTTCACCTTTCAGAACTTGGAACACAGTTCCGCTTTCTTTGTTCATCTAGTGCATCCCTAAAAGTAGACAGGGCACAACCTTACGCAAGTTTGGCCAGAAAAAGGACCTACAACTCCTTGAAGTAGCAGCCCTTTTTACTGTCTAAACCAGCATAGGATCGGGTCCTTACAGACTAGAACTGCATACTGTTCCCTCAACATCATGTGGGTGACAGTCTAGGAGCCTTTGGGCATTTTCTTATTTTTTTTTCATCTAAAATATTTATTTATTCATTTATTCATTTGATTTAAAGTTTTTATATGCTGTCCCATTACTAAAAGTCTCAGGATGGCTTACAAAGAACAAAAACCAAAGAACAGAGCAAACCGTAACAACAATGACGGCACAGATACAACAAACACAACCAAAAGAAATTACAACGAAACTAGAAACATATAAAGTTAAACATACAATGAAAATAATTCTAAAAATACTGTGCGCCCCTGCACCCCACCAGACCATAAGGACACATGTTAGAGATACTATAAAACTCATTCCAACGTTCTTTCAGGACATTTTCCCCTTCCGAAATGGCAATGATTCTTTTGGGGTTCAAATCCTTTCTCTTTATAAAAAACACACACTCATTAAATGTGCCCTAAATCTCATTAAACCTGTTTCTTTAAATGCCCCTTTCTCACCTCTGGGCATCCTCTCCTGGGCTTTTAACTCCACATGTGTTACACAAGATTGTCATAAAGTGCCAATATGGTTTGTGTCTAAACATTTGAGCTCCGTCGTCCAGCGATATCAGCTGGGTGCTCAGTAGCGCTTTGCGCTGCCTTGACGCTCAGCTGTCAGCACACACCTGGCCAGGTGAATCTAAGGAGGCGTCTGCATGGCTTCACTCATCAGCCAGAGGGGCCATGATTGCGCTAGGCAAGGCTCTGGCTGAAGTTGCCCCTTGCTTCTGCCATGCCTGGGCTACCGAAAAGCACCGAGGGAATGTTCGAGCTGCTTTTCCCAGCACAGCTGGACTCTTTAAGCCATGGGGGGGGGGCTCTTTGGCCACAGTCCCTGCTTCCAGCTCCCTCATTGTGCCTCAAGCCAAGGTCCCAAAAACCCTGGCTGTGGTTACTCCGTGCTTTGGACGGTGCAAAGAAACCTGCCGGCCTCTCCCCACATGAAACTGCGAGATCAAATATGCAGCGTTTCAAAGCCCGGCGCCTGGTGTTTATAGGAAGCCCTGGCACCTTCTTGGGTGCAAACAGGGGTTAAATTATTCCTTGTTCTATTTGTATTTAAATGTTCTGTTTTGATGAGAAGTTGTGAGCCGGAGGTGTCAGACAGGCTGGGAGGACCAGACTGCACACAATAACGGGAAAAGGCACATCTGGGGCTGAGAGGTGGGAACCACCAATTAAGAAGACAGGAGGGCAAGGAAATGAAGGTGGCAGGCTACTTTGGAAGCCACGGGTGCCAGGATCGGGCCGGCCTGCATTTCGTTAGCACATAGATGGGTGGGAACGCTCTTCGAGGCCTGTGCATGTGCACAGAGCCAAGTGCAGAAACTATGAGAAAAACAGGACTCTCCCAGAATAATAAAATAATGGAAAGAAGGAAAGAAACAAAGGAAGGAATGAAACAAAGGAAGAAAGATTCGTGACTATGACTACACTGTATGAGGGGAAGTTTTCTTCCAGATTTATTCATGCAAAGTACAAATGTCCATTTATGCTCCACTCTGGATTCTTTTTCAGAATTCAGCAGAACCCACATCTCCGCCCAAGAAAAGTTGCAAGGGCACTTCCGGCCAATGCTTCCTTTTTTAGGCCCCTAACTCCGAGCAAGCCAATGCACATGCCGGAAGAGATAGCAAAAACTAAAAATAAAAAGAGTTGACATCACCAGTCAATCTCCCTGAGCTGAGGGTGAAAGAAACCACCCGCGAGCCCAGATATGGCGATGAGCCCGCTTCCAAGTGCGAGAAAAATCCAATGTGAGGAAATGGCCTTTGGCCGGCACTGCTCTTCTCCCCTACTTTCTCCCTCCGCTCTCTCCTTCAGAGCAGAAGAACCTCACAATCCATCCTGCTGACCTCTCACACGCTGCCCCGTGGCACACGGCAGACACTGCGGCTAACTCAACAGCAGGATCAATGCAGCCTGAGGTTAGCAAGAAATGCATTTCCACCTTTCTCCTTAAATCACCATGCTCCTCGTCACCCTCCCTGCTCCCAGTAGAATCGTGTGAAATAGTTCACCGTGAGTTATTTACCAGAGAAATCTCCCAGTCTCCTTAGGTTATCCTTAATTTGAGGTAAGAGCATGGACAATAAATTGAATGCAAGATCTTGGAAGCAATGCAGCATCTGCTCAAGGGCTATGCCCACAATCGGGTGCTCTGGTCAAGGGCATAGTTCTGCTCCAGAAAGGGGCAGTTCTCAGAATCGCTTGCTGGGCTCGGGCACCGCGTAGACCGACAGACTCGCATCTTGAGCATGACTCAAGTAATTTAATTCTGGGAGCCTCTCTGAAGCTTCTCAAGGTAGGTTCTGCATGTGTGTTACACTATTTCCATTCACAAGAGAGCCAGTGTGGTGTAGTGGTTAAAGAGCGTGGGACTGGGACTCAGACGATCCGGCTTCGAGTCCCCGCTCAGCCATGGAGCCAACTGGGTGACTCTGGGCCAGTCACAGACTCTCAGCCCAACCTACCTCACAGGGTTGTTGTTGTGGGGATAAGATGGGGGAGGAGAATGATGTAAGCTGCCTTGAGCCCTTTGTAGGAAAAAGGCAGGATATAAATCCATAACCCCATAAATAAATAAATAAATAGATAGATAGATAGATAGATAGATAGATAGATAGACTGGTTCGGTGGACACACGTCCCCTGAAAAGGCGCAGACAAAATGTCCAACCCAGCAATTCGGGTTCACTGGAAGGCAACTGACCATGGCTGCAGGATGCGGCCCGAAGAGACAAGGAGGGCTTCCAGCTGGGTGGCTCCAAGTGTTAGCAATCTGGAAACAGTGCGCAGCTGGTCCTACAACTTCTCCATAAATGATTCTCAGCATTAAGGAAAAAGGGGCTTTGGTGAGTGGGAGGTATAAAAGTGAGATAAATAAAGCGGTGTGAAAACACGGGAGGGTCATGGGCAGATCTGTGCATGGGGTGGGGTGTTGGCCACATACAAGCCTCACCTGAAATGGTGAGAAAATGTACAAATAAGTGGCAGGAAGAAAATAGTCGTTTTTGCGTATTGGAGGGCCTTTCATGAGTCAGAAGTACAATTTGGATAGACATAAGGCCAATTAAGGGACAGTGAAATGGAATGATTAGATGCATGGCTGAAGTGGAGTTAAATGTACATATGGACAGTGATTCAAAAGTATTTCTTACTTTTAAAAACATCATGTTATTAATTGTGTATATTGGAATATTTACTAATTTTGGAAAAAGTTGCTAGACTTACAACATTCACAAAGAAGTTGTTGCAGTTTATAGTGTGCGATAGATAAGAAAAATGCATTTGAAAGGAGCCTCATCTGGAAGCACTCAGAGATACGAGACATTTTGGAGCTGTTGGGCCTTGTGCCCGGAACAGCCCCTTTTAATGCGAAGCCCAGGTGGGCCGTGCCAACTCCGAAGCCAGCGAGAAGCACGAGGGAGACCTCGCCACGCTGACTTGCGCAGAAGGACATCACGCTGTTGTTCGTCCCCCGAAGAGGGCAATGCACCCCGTACATCACGAGGATTGCTCATGCCATCAGCAGCCTTACTCAGGGCTGTCTCTTAAGTCCCATCATTTGGAGCCGGGAGCTGTCCCCTTCTGGCGTTCACCCCTCTCCTCCCACACCCCTGCACACTCTTTTGTTGGGGGTCTCGCTTGTTTCCTCTGATCTTGGAAGTTCCATTTTTTCCAATTGCAGGGAAAATCAGGCCAACGGCTTCCCACTCTGTAAGTAAAAACGGGGCAGCAGAATTCCTGTGCAGGATTCCTAGTCCCAGTCAAGAGCTGCTGAACCAAGCTTAAAATGTTCCTCTTGGAAGCGTTTGTGGTTTTTTGTTTAGTAGCTAAGCCATGACTGACCCTTCATGACACCATGGACAACCTTCCTCCAGGCTCTCCTGTCCTCCACCATCCCCCTAGGCCACCCAAGCCCACACCCACCTCCCCAGGGACCCCATCCAGCCACCCCATCCTCGGCTGTCCCCTTCTCCTTTTGCCCTCAATCGTTCCCAGCATCTCCAGTGAGTCCTTCCTTCTCATTAGGTGGCCAAAGTATTTGAGTTTCGAAACTCTCCAGGGGCTTTCATGGCAAGGACACTGGAGTGGGTTGCCAGTTCCTTCTCCAGTGGATCACGCCTTGCCAGAGCTCTCTGCTATGCCCTGTCCGTCTTGGGTGGCCTGCCCGGCAGAGCTCACAGCTTCGTTGTGCTGCGCAAGCCCCTTTGCCACAGCAAGGCAGTGATCCATGAAGTGCTTGTGGGCGCACCCTGGTTCTCCACCATGCGGTATGTTTTGGGAGACTTGGAGGGAAGACCTTTCCAGGTGTGCTCCGCATACAAGAGCATTTGTGCCTGCCTGCAGGTACGAGGGAAGCACCCAGCTCACCTGGAGGCCTGAGTGGCTCCGGCATCCCTGCAGGTGCGCTGGCTCCATTCTAAACACGATGGAGCTCAGACGCCTTCATGCCCCTTCCTCCCTGCCCTGCATATCCCCAAAGAATGCCTGAAAGGGCCGTTGGAGCCCTGAGGAGCGAGGAGGGGGTTTCGGGATGGCAGACACTGCTCCTGTTCCTGGTCTCTAGGCATTCAGGATGTCACATCCGAAACGTCCTCCCATCGGGTGGCAGAAACCCTCCGCCGTCTCTCTGAGCCCTACCGGGAGATGCGGGGGGTCGCACCTGGGTTTTCTGCAGGTGATGTGGGGGCTCTGCCATGGATGTCAGGTCCTCCCTGAGCTGCAGCCCTTTCCACAGAGATGCATGTACAATCCGCCATCCCCCCTGCCCCATAGTGTAGGGGGCAGAACATGGGTAAAAGGCACCATGAATGCACCGGGGGCCAGGACAGGAGCAGATGGCCCAGGCCCCCTGCCCCACCCACAGGGAGAGGTCACACTTTGCACAAAGAAAAGTGCACAGCATCACAAGCCGGGCTCTGTGATAGCAGAGATTTCTCCCTGTGTTCAAGGGGCTTGAGCAGAACTTCGTCCGGATCTTGCTGTTCCAACATGGCAAGGCCTGAAGTCTGTTTCTCTCTGTCCGTGGGGTGTCATGCACCCGCAGATCGAGTGGGGCAGGCCAGCCTGCACAGCCTTTTCCCAGGACACACGTGAAGCCTTCAGGGGATGGTCCCTGGCTCTGGAGAGCCCTTAGGGGTGTCTCGTCCAGTTTCTTCAACCCCTCATCCGCTTTCCTCCTGCCCTTTGGCTCTCCCAGGTAGGTTTGCTTATAGGGTGAAGCAGCTTAAGCACTGGAGTCTCCCTCTCCCACAAAGAGAAACATGAATCGAGAGGCATTCAGCACCCGAGTCCCCGTTTTAAATTTCTGCCTTGCTCACACCCACCCACGCACGCTCCGCTGTAATCCTCGATCCCGGCTAAGCCCCAGAACAGTGGGATTTTCACACGCGTTCCGAGCAAATCTTCAAAGGATGTGAGACCCTCTGCAGGGTCGGCCGAGTGAAGGCTGGTGTGTCTGGGAGATAAGTTTCAGCCCTAAACTCATTTCAATGGGTGACCTGTTGGGGCTCAGGAGAAAGAAAGGGAAGGAAAACTCCTGCAGAAACCTAAAAAGGCTGTGACATTAATACACTGCACCACTTCAGTCCCAGTTCTCCTGGGACAGCTGGAACTGCACACAGAAGGAAGAGAGATTAAAAGGAAAAGGAAATGAAGAGAAAGCGCTGGGGAGAGACTTTCCACCCCGCCTTATGCCGCACGCTGGCACTTGTGACGACATTTCAGATCAAATTAAACTTCACTTTTTAAAGACTTCGGAATAGGTAATTGAAACACTTCCTTAAAGTTGCCTCCATCTCTGTGTTATCTCGCTTTCCCTCTGTATATCATATTTTTCCCCCAAGCTGGAGAGAGCTCCGCTTACCCACTGCCTCCTTAATATTAAAGGCAGTGATTAAATAGGATTCGCCAAAAGACAAAAGGCTGAAAAACCTGCCCATTGTTAATCCCTCTTTCGCTGTGCTTAAAAATTCCATTTCCTTCATTTGAAGAAAGGAGGGCGAAGCGACGCGTCGAGGACTGATTTAAATTCCGGCATCGCTTACTCCCTTCTCCCTCTCTTGACGTCTGAATGTACCCCTTTATTACCATTATTACAGCTTTCTGATTGCATTAAAATTCATCCACATGCTTCCCTCCACATTTCTTTCCCTTTCTTTTTTTAACCAATTCTTTTGCTAATTCCCCTTTTCTTAAAAAGAAAAAAGAAAAAAAGAAACACCCCTCCTCATTTTTGAATTATATGGAATACTATCAAAGATCTCCAAAAAAGAAAACCCCAACCTTTTTCTTCTCCACTTGCTTTTGCAAGCTTGCCCAATTTGCTTCTCATTTATGGACAACTGCGGAGATGAAGAGAGAGGAAGAGAGAGGGAGGAAGGAAGGGAGGGAGCCGTCTTCCGCCTTTACGCATCTTTGCCTTCACAAAAGCATTTGTTTCTTCTGCAGTTGTGGATGAGGGAGACCACGGCCAACTTGGATTATTGCCTCATCAGACCCAGTATTGTTTTCCTGCACCAACACGCAGGCAGAAATCTTTCCTTGCATCCTATCCTGGGAGTCCTTTCGCTGGGTGAGGGGAACATCGTGCTGCCTTGGAGTTATCTGTGATTTATTTATTTATTTACACTGCCTCTCAGGTTCGTGAACTCCAGGCCATGCCACCAAATTGGCAGGGGTGCCACCCCCGGGCACTGAGGCGACCCAAATCCATTCAGCGTCAGGCCTGCCTCTTGACCAGTCCCGGCTCCCCGCACCCACCCACCTCATTGCATCCGGACTGGCCTGCTGCCCACGAAACTCTCCAAGCCGAGCGTGGGCCTTCCCACACCCATCCATTCACGGTTTCTTTACATTGCTTAACGCCCTTCGACCCCTCTGTCCCGCGTGGATGACCAAGGCAGCTAACGGCCCTACAGAGGATGTGGTGAGAGGCGGAACCTCGCAGACCCAGCGTCCTGATGAGCACCTAAGCAGGAAAGAAGGGCATCCAAGCAGATTCTCCCCCTTCCTTTCCCAGTGGTCCTCTTCGTGTGTGCATTTTGCGGCAGTGGGGCTTAGTTTTATATTTGCATGCATTTTAACTGACTGCCACATGGCTGAACGGGAGGAAGAAGGCAAGCTGGGGATTTTAGGTGTGCTGTAGGCTTCCTTCATCTGCCTTTGCTGGGAAAAAGGCTCGTTTGCCTTGGCATCGACTGATGCTTTCCTGAACCAAATTGTTGGGCCTTGTTGGGAGGGCTACAAGGGGGTTGGAATCCAGCTCTGTGATCCTATGAACTTGGCACAGCTGGCACTG